CATCAGTGAGCCTCGCCATTCTTAGCATCATTCAACAACTCGTCAGAGACAAGTGAAGCCGATCCTTTGATCAAACGTGTGCTAAACAGTTGTGATATCTCCCTTTCTGCTCTAGGCTATTCACATTTCCTATATCCTCCTATCACGCTTTCCCTTTTTCAATTTTTTCCGTGCCTATTTCGATCTAGTGCGGTGTGCGCCTTTGACCGGCTTTCATGAAAACCATTTACACTCCACGCTGTTGTTCTCTCCCCCTTCACCCTTGTGCTGGGAATGTTGACCAGAGTCTGCCATATTATTACGCAGTCCTCCTACCCTAGGTCTTATCGCAGGCTCTCCTTGCCCCGTAAGATTCATCTACTCTCTCCCTGATTCACATATTTCACTCGACCCCTGTCACCCCATCTGTGTTGCCACTTGGGTAACGATAGACGTGTTTCATTATAAACGTGATCCTGGAATCACGACTATTGTTAGTCAACCAGCTTTAGCTTCCACTGTTTCTATCCTTTTTCTGTCTCTAATACCAAGTCTATGACTTCCCATGCTCTAGTTTCTTGTGTGCCAACCCACAAACGTTGTGGTTCATCATTGAACCAAATCAAAACAAGCTGTACCACAACGTTTGTGGGTTGGCACACAAGAGACTAGGATATGGGAAGTCATAGACTTGGTATTACGGATAGAAACAGGATTGACTCAGTGGAGACTAGAGCTAGTTGGCTCACAGTAGGTCTGTTTTTACCATAAATGCGGTCCATATAGAAAAGTCGGGAGTATTAGACTTACTCAGAGGTCTTAGCCTCGAATTAATCACCTAGACGCAGGGGGAGGGCGAATAACGCCCCGAGCAACACAGATGGGGTGGCAGGAGTCGAGTGTATTATGTGAATCAGGGAGAGAGTAGACGGATCTTACGGGGCAAGAGAGAGCTTGTGATAAGACCAAGGGAAGGAGGACTGCGTAACAATATGGCAGACTGGTCAAAATTCCAAGCACAAGGGTGAAGGAAGTGAGAACGACAGCGCGGAGTGTGAATGGTTTTCATGAAAGCCGGTCAAAGGAGCACACTAGATCGAAATAGGTAAGGTAAAAATTAAAAAAGGGAAAGCGTGATAGGAGGATATATGAAATGTGAATAGCCTAGAGCAGAAGGGAGATATCATAACTGTTTAGCACACGTTTGGTCAAAGGATCGGCTTCACTTGTCTCTTTGACGAGTTGTTGAATGATGCTAAGAATGGTGAGACTCACTGATGATGCCGGCGAAACGTCTGGGAATGTACCACGTCCACGGTCCTACTCTGGAAATGAT